CCGCACTGAGTCAGTAGTATCCGTTGACTCATCCAAAGCGATTGACAGAAACTAGAAATCAGTAACAGAAGGAAAAGGGGAAAATTCGCTATGTGGAGATTAAACACACACTTGAACAGCCAGTGGGTCAATGAAGTAACCAAAAGGGCGGTGAGAAAACACGACGTGTGAAAATACCGCAAACCGGGGCTCGCGGCATCCGGCACACGCAGTGCGCAGAGGAGCGTTGGTGGCTGTGCGTTCTCATGCTAAAAACACGAAAGATATCAAGTCAATAATCCACCTTGACACTTGCTGTGGTTCAGGAGTGTTTTGGCTCCTGTTGACGTTTGGTCCCCAGTGTCGGAGGTGGGCCCGGTGGCAGGCGTTTGGGTTGTGGGTGCGGATTCCTCCGCATGGTGCCATTCCCAGGGCAGCGGGTGAGCTCCCGCTTGGCTCCCACCAGAACTGGCTGTGGAGGAGCCTGGCACGCCCCTGTCTGGCTCTCGCTTGTGCTCCTGTCATGCGGTCTCTGCACACACCAGCTCCTCTTCACCTGGCGCCGTGCGCGGACGCACCTGGGGCCCTGGCCAGCTGCAGACGCAGGTGCCAGGCTCGTACAGCCTGCGGAGCCGTGCGCCCGGCAAACTGCTTCTCTCTGTAAATTACCGGCGGCAGGCGCTCCTGTGCAGCAGGGAGTAGCTGCACAGACAGACCAAGACGTGCCTTGAGGAACTAGAAAAGAGAAGCACAAACTAAACTCAAGGCTGGCAGAAGGAAGGAGATGAAGATTAGATGCTAGAATAAAAGGAGGAAACAAAGACATTGAGAGTAGAAAAACAATGGGAAAATCACTGAAACCAAAAGTCAGTTTTTGAAAAGAGCAATAAAATTAACAAAGCTTTAGCTGGACTGACTGGGAAAGAAAAGGGAAGACGCAATTACTAAAATCAGAAATCCGAGTGGGAGCGTCACCACTGACGCACAGAGGCCCGCAGGACGGCGATGCGGAGAGCCGTGCGCCAGCGAGCGAGAGGACCTGGCGTGCCGGACAGCCCCCACGGCCCGCTGACCGCCGACCCACACCTTCCTGGTGTTCCGCTCTTCCTCACAGGGCTCCACGGCACCGTCTAGCGCCCTGGATTTCATCCTGAGCTGGCGTTTCTCGCAGGGCAGGTCTGCACGCCATAAACTCCGTCAGCGTTTATTTATCCGGAAGTGTCTTAGTTTTCCCCGCAGTTTTGCAGGATAGTTTCGCTAGACACAGACGCCTGGGTGGGCGGGTTTTCCCTCTGCCTGTGAGCGGCTCGCCCGCTGCCTCCGGACTTGCCGGCTCCCGGTGAGAAACCCGCTGTCGATCTTCCTCCCGCGGCTTTCGAGACTCTGGGCTTGCAGGGATTCGATTGTGTCTCTCCGTGGGGATCTGTTTGAGTTCATTCTACATGCAGTTTACTGAACTTCCCAGATGTGTTTCGTCATATTTGGGGAGTTTTGGGCCATTATTTTCTTCAAATATTGAAAAAACGTATTGTATTAACATACACGTAAGATAAAATTTGCCATCCCATTTTTAAGTGTGTGGTCCAGTGGGACTAAACACACTCACAGCGTGCAACGATGACCTCCATCCATCTTCGCGACTCTTTTCATCTTGCTCCGCCGAAACCCTGTCCCCACCGAACACTAATTCCCTAATTTCCTCTCCCCCTTCCCTGGCAACCGGCACTCTACTTTGGTCTGTAAAATTTTTCTTCAAATATTTTATATGCTCCTTCCTCTCTCTGCTCTCTTTCTGGGACTCCTGTTAGGCGTGCGTTACTATGCTTGCTGGTGTCCTACGGGTCAATTAAACTCTGTCATTTTTTTCTTTATTCTTTTTGTTTTCCCGCCTTTCAGACTGGGAGATTTCAATGGACTGTCTTCGTGTTCTCTAATTGTCCTTATGCCTGCTCAGATTGGCCGTTGAACCCCTCAGCGATCTTTTTCCTATCAGTTATTATGCTTTTCAACTCCATAACTTCTATTTGGTCTCTTATTATAATTTCTCTCTCTTTATGATATTCTCTATTTGTTGAGAGATTGTTCTCCTGGTTTCTCTTAGTTCTTGGTCCGTGGTTTCCTTTAGCTCTTTGAGTACATGTAGGAGAGTTAATTGAAACACTTTGTCTAGTAAATTCGACCCTGGGCTTCTCCAGGGACGTTTTCTATTAACTGTTTTCTTCCCCCCTGTGAACAGGCCATACTTTCCTGCTTCTTTGCATGCCGCAGGATTTTTGTTCAAAACTGGACATTTCGCATATTGTAATGTGATAATTCTCAATGTCAGATTCTCTCCCCTCCTTAAAATTTATTGTTGCCGATTGTGTGACTTAGAGTTGTTTTTGATTTAGTGACTTTGCCAAACTGTGTTTGTAACAACTGTACTCTTTGTTCTGAGGGGCCACTGTGCCAGGAGCTTGTGCTCAGTGACCTGACAGAGAGTAACTTGGGGCCCAGGCTCTGCAGCCCGGCCCTGAAGGACGTCACAGCTCCGCCTGCCCTGCCACTTCCCGCTGGCCCAGAGCTCGAGGCGCAGCCGGAGGTGAGCGCCCAGAGCTCCTCAGGTCCCGCAAGCTGTGCCCACCGAGGGCGTCGTGGGGCCCTCCAGGCCCCCAGGAAAATGTGGATGTTCCCGAAGCCCGTACTCCCCAGAGCATCTCACTCCCAGCTCTGCCCCCCAGGCTTTTTGGGGTGTCCATCGTTTGCCCAACCGACAGCCTTCGCCCTGGGTTGTGGTGACTGTTTGGTATCTGTAAATGTCTGACAAACATCCTCCAGGCAGCGGCCTCGCTGCCCCGAGAGCTCTGGGTTTGCCGAGCTAAGCCCCACCCCTGGTGTTGGTCCTCAGGGAGCCACCTCTACTGTGACCTTCCCTTCCGGGCTCAGTGAGATCTTTTGGAAAAAAATCATTTGCCTTGGTGTTTCACTTCCTTGGTTCTTCTTACCCCTTAACCCGGCACAGCACAACTTTGCCCACATGACATGACCGGGAAGTCCCTGAGCAAGATCACAGATAACTTCCGTGTCCCGAACCCCGTGCCGCTCTCCATTGCTGTGAGCGAGCATGCGCGGCCCCTGAAGCCCTGGATCGCTCTCTCGGTAGCTCTCAGGGGAGCGTCCTCTGCCTCCCGGGCGTGTGTGGGACCCTCCTGCCCACCTTGCCAGCCTCGCAGCCCCCACCGTCCCCAGCGCCTGTCCCTATGTGGCCCGCAGCTCCCGCACAGCCGCCCGGGCCTGTGCTCCCCCCTCACCTCCCCCCTTCCCCAGCCAAGCAGTGCCTCCCGCTATGGGACCACCGCACATCCCCGCTGCGAGCCAGGCAGCGGGACGGCGGGATTCACAATGGTGACGGTGCCTCCCCCCTGTGTCCTTGCAGCGTCGTCCCTCTGTGTCTGTGTCCTCAGCTCCTCTTCTTACAAGGACACCAGTCAGACCGGATCGGGGCCACCCTGATGGCCTCATCTTAACTTCATTTCCTCTTTAAAGATCCCATCTCCAAACAGGGTCACATTCCCAGTTCTAGAGGTCAGGACTTCGACTTGTGAACTTGGGGGACATAACTCACCCACAGCAGGGTGGCCTTGGTGCCCTGCGAGGCGGGAGCGAGGGTGTCGGCGAGTGCCACCTGAGCCCTGATTCCCCTGGAGGAGGCCGGGGCAGGCACTCCCTGTCCACACCCGCAGGGATGCACAGTTGGGCAGAGAGATGGCCCTCGGGGAGGTTTCGGCCAATGGACCCCACGCGCTGAGCAATGGCACGCCGAGCCCTGGCGCCCGCACCACAGGTCACCACTGTCAGTTCACAGTGTGAATGCTTGAGCCGCCCGGTCTTGTGACAGCAGCCCGAGCTGATCTGTGTGACCCTTCTCAGAACAGTGGCCTGTGTGCCCACAGAGCCCGCTGAGGCCCCCCGCGGTCCCCGAGACCGAGAAGCCTGGGGGACATCCTGCCCCAGGTCATGGGGTGCCGGGAGGGTGTGGAGGAGGAGAGGAGGGACAGTGTGGCCCTGGCGTCCTCCCTGTCTCCCTTGCAAGGAGCTAAGACACCGCCACGAGGCCTCCCTCCTGCCCTCTGGCCTGCACACGTTCTCACGCTGTCCCGGGCGTCCTCCGCCGTCACCACCGCCACCTTCCCTTCCCCGCCTGCCCCCACCAACCCGCCCAGCAGGCGGGAGCTCTGGAGGCCACGTCTCGGTTCTCTCTCTGTGTCCCAGCGGCGCCCGTGCTGGAGCAGAGGCGTCCCCGAGCGTCCCTGAGTGCAGGAGCCCAGGACGCCCAAACCGTCCCCGAGTGGAACTCCTGGGCGCTGGGCCAGCTGATGCCGCGTCTCCCCCGATCCCCCACCTCCCGGCACAGCTGCGGGCCCTGCCGCCCCGGGACAGCCCACCCTGGCCTGGAAGGAGCTGCTTCTACCCACAGTGGGGGGCTCTGGCCTGAGCCCAGGTGGTGCCCAGTGGCCAGTGAGCACAGCTGGACCCCGCAGGACCTGGGGGGTGGCCGGATGGCAGAGCAATGCCGTGAGGCAGACAGGGGCTTCCAGGTGTCCTGTGCGAGAGTCCCCGAGTCCCCCACAGCTGGGAGGGTCCGAGGCCCGGCCCCCAGAGCAGGACCGGCCCTCCCTGTTCCCCCTCCCGCCAGGTGAGCCGCAGTCAGCACAGAGGCCAGCGTGGGCGGCAAGGGTTTTATTGGAGCTCAGAGGCCGAGAGCGACTGTTTTAGGTGGAAGACCAGGGTCAGCCAGGGCCCGGCCCTGAGCAAGGAGGGACGTGGCCTGGTGACAAAGTGCAGCGTGGAGCCACCGGGCTCCTGTGGGCCGAGGACAGGAGGGGAGGAGCGAGCCTCTCAGGCCAGACCAGGCTGGGCTGCTGCGGGTGGGGCTGCTCTTCTCTGCGGTGGAGCTCCCTGGGCAGGGGCTGGGAGGCCAGGGCGTCCCAGGACTGGCAGGGAGGGGGGACCTGAGCCCACTGGCCCTGGGGACGTGCCCGTCAGCAGCTGGACCTCTGGCCTGAGGAGAGGTCACAGCAGGCCGGGCGGGGGCAGGCGGGGCGGCAGAGGAGGGACACGCAGGAGGCTGGGCGACAGCAGCTGGGCTGGCAGGAGGAGGAGGGGGCACAGCAGGCAGGTCTGCACACGGGGCGGCAGAGGAGGGACACGCAGGAGGAAGGTCTGCAGCAGGAGGAGGGGCAGGGGCTGGGCTGGCAGCACAAGGGGGCCAGGCAGGTGGTGGCCCTGGTGCAGATGGGCACACAGCACACAGGCTTGCAACACACAGGCTTGCAGCACACGGGCACACAGCAGGACTGCTGGCAGGGGGAGGAGGTGCAGCAAGCCGGCTGGCAGCTAGACTGCTGGCAGCTTGAAGAGGAGGCCTCAGAGCACACGGGCACACAGCACACGGGCTTGCAGCACACAGGCTTGCAGCACACGGGCACACAGCAGGACTGCTGGCAGGGGGAGGAGGTGCAGCAAGCCGGCTGGCAGCTAGACTGCTGGCAGCATGAAGAGGAGGCCTCAGAGCACACGGGCACACAGCACATGGGCTTGCAGCACACGGGCACACAGCAGGCCTGCTGGCAGGCGGAGGGGATGCAGCAAGCGGGCTGACAGCTAGACTGCTGGCAGCACGAGGGCGTGCAGGTGCTGATGCAGACTGACTGGCAGGGGCTGGACACACAGCTCACTGGGCTGCAGACCAGGGTCAGGCACGGGGCCGGGGCGCAGCAGCTGGGGGCGCAGCAGGGGGGCTCGCAGCAGCTCTCTGGGCAGTCGTCCCCCTGCCAGGAGTCGGGGCAGACAGACATGGTGGACGCGGCCATGCTGGGGGTGGGAGCAGGTGCGCTGGGGGAGGTGTGAGCGAGTGTGAGCGAGTGTGAGCAAGTGGGTGTGTGAGGTGCTCCGCGCTGCCGGCTTTTATACCCCTCCCGCGCACGCGCTGTCCCGCCTGGCGGCCCAGCAGTGCCGTCCCCTTCCTTGTTGGTGTTTAGAACCTGGAGACACCTCATTAGCGTAGTTTCATGTTTAGTTCCGTGAGTCGTTGTTCAGCTTGTCAAAGTCCCGCGTGTACTTTTGTGTCTGTTGACGCATCCTCACGTTCCTTCGGCGGCAGAACGTACCGTTGGAGAAGACAGCGTGTGTTTCTGCAGATACAGCGTCTGCGGTCAGCACCGGTGCCGTGAGGTTCAAGCATCCTGTTTCCAGCTGGCCTTGGGCTGTGCCCTGCGAGTCGGCTCGTCTGGGCCGCCGCGGCTTCAGGGATGCCGGACCGCAGTGCCCGGGTCAAAGAGGGATGAGGGCAGAATGTTTTTGGGGGTGACTCCCGATCCTCTCTCTGGTGCAGGAAGTCCCCCGAGGGCTTCAGTGCAGGCGGCGAGCAGGTCGCGGGACAGTGGTGTCGGGATCGCAGTGGTCCCTGTGGGCCACGCATGCCCTGTCCTTCGTGTGCGCACTCGGGTCCCTGCGTGACCCTCCCGTCTCCATTCTTCGCTTTCACCCCTGCGCTCCTCACGCACGTGCTCCAAGGAAGCCACCCCCAGCAGGGCACGCAGGCCTGTGGACAGCCGTGACGTGAAGGTGACGGAAAGACGTCTTTCAGGGGCTGAAGGACAATCGCCGCAGACCTGGGATTCCAGAGCAGGAAGAATATTGCCCCAAGCCAAGGTGGCAGGGCCTTGCCCGACCGACAGAGACAGCACCGGCGGACCCCCAAAGTGAACAGGGGAGGAACGTTTCAGGGTGCCCGGAAGACGGACACGCAGGAGGAGGCCAGGAGGCCCCGAAAGGGTGAACAAATGGGCAAACACGAGTGAAACTGACTTGCCTTTATCCTGGCAGCATCGTGGTGCGATGACATGTTTATAATGTCCCGTGGGTCTCAACTATGAGTAGAAATAAAACTCATGGAAACATGAACAACAAAAGGCGAGAGGGAAAACGGAGCTGAATTTTCTGAGGCCTTAGCATTGCTCGGAAGTCGGGGACGTACGACGTGCGTCAGACCTGAACCACCCGAGTGCACGCTGCGATCTCTGGGGTGGCGCCGGAGGAGCAGCAGAAACCATGTGGAAATGAATATGACAGGAGAGGGAAATGAATAATGAAAGCATTTTATTAATCCAAAGTAGACAGGAAGTGATTTTAAAAGAAACATGAAACAATTGGGACAAATAAAAATCATATAATCAGATGGTAGATACAAACCCAGGAATCAGTAATTAGATTAAATGCAAGGTGTCAAGTATTCTAATTAAAAAGAGGATCGTTGGTCTGGATAAAAGATAGAAGACCTAACTGTGTGCTGCTTGCCCGAGACGGAGCCCACAGAGGAGCGCAGGAACGGCTGGGAGCAGCGAGGGAAGGAGACATAGTCACAGACGCAACCGAAATGCTGCTGCGGCTTGTGAACACCGATAGGTTCTAGAGCAAGGGTCGTTATTAGGGCTAAATAAAGACATTTTATAAAGTTACCCTCCAGGAGGCTGTAACAGTTCTAAATTTGTATGCGCCTGATTACGTGGCTTGAAGCAGACAAATAAAAACTGACAGAGCTAAAAGTAGAAACAGAGAAAGGAACAATCGTGTCGGGGACGTGAGTCACCTCTCCACCTCTCTCAATAATTGACGGAAAGAGACAAAACAATCTCAGAGCGAGAAAGGCTGTTCTGAGTTTGCAGTGAAACACGAAAGCCATTAAAAAAAAAAAGACCAATAAATCTAACCATGTGAAAATTTTACAGTTGCGTGAGATAAAACACTATAAACCAACTCAAAGACACGCAGCCCTGTGGGAAACGCATCTGCCGTGTGCGTCACGGAGGAGGGGCGCATCGACCTGCTGTGCGCAGAGCCCCCACTGGGGCTGGCGAATGCCGACGGCGCAACGGAAAACGAGCGCGGGGTGCGGAGACCACCGAAAGGAAACACACGGTTCTCAACAACGCGAGTGTGCTCACCCCCATTCAAAACGAGAGAAGATCTCGTTTAACCAGCCTGTGATCTCAGTGCTCCCACGTCACGTGGAAAGGCTGGCAGCTCTGATGCCGGGACGGGCTGGGCAGGCGTGGCGAGCCCTCCAAGCACCTGCGGGCGGCCACACAGCTCTGCGGGCAGTTTGCTGCTGCGGCTCGACACCCAGAACCTGTGTCTCTGAGCCCAAATCGTCAGCGTGTGTCCCGTCAATATTCCTGGGCAGGCGTCACAGCGGTGGGCTGGTCCACGCTGGGGTGCTCAGGGCCCCCCCTTGAATGCAGGCGGGGCCTGTGACATGCGTGTGGCCACAAAGAGTGTAGCAGGGGTGACGGACGTGTGTGCTCACGGTGCCTAGGACTGCGATGCCGTGTTGGGAGCACGCACCCGCCTGGCTGGCTGTGAGGAGCTGCGGGAAGAGGCGGGTGGCCTCCAGCTGACGGCCAGCGAGAACTGGGGCCCAGCCCCCAGCCTGCGAGGAACCAGGCGCCGGCGACCACGGCATGCGCGTGGACGTGGCCCCTCCCCAGTCCAGCCTCGGAGGAGACACCTGGACGCAGCCCTGGCGCGAACCAGCTCCGCTGTGCGGGACTCCCGGCTCGCAGCACCTGTGAGGTGACAGACGTGTGATTCGAAGCCACCACGCGTGTGGGAATTTGCGACACAGCAATAGAAAATGAACACACAGACAGAAGCGGAATTCTGTGCAGCTTTAGACGAGAAAGAGAATTTTATATGCTCGTAGGAAAGGAATCCTTTTCCATTATGTTTTTAAAAAGTGAGGAGCATATGATACAATCCGTATTTTAAAAATTCCTGCGCGTTCGTAGAAGGTGGATGGGTGGACGGGCGGCACGGGCAACACTCGTCATCCGTGGGTTCCGTGCTCGTGAGGTTCCACCCTAACGTTTATCTGTAGCCTCTAAGTCAGCACTCGCGGTGCTTCGTGGTCATCCGTGGCCACTCGCAGAGCACCGCGTGTTCGAGCCTCGGGCCGGGCACGTCCCCGCGGGGCCCCGCTGGGCGCGCTGCTGCCTCGTTCCCGCTCGTCGTGCAGGGACGGGAGCCTTGCCACGATCTCCTTAGTGCCACTCTCCCCTCCGTTGCACTTGCAACCCCCACTGTCCCAATGCCCCGCGCACAAGGGCGTCCCCAGCACGAGGGGCCGCAACGTGTCTCACACAGAAAACACGCGTGTTGGACGCACGTCACCCAGGCTGCATCGCGGCACCGGCGGGCAGAGACTTTCGAGAGCAACCGCCCCAGTAACGAGATGGGCTGTGCGTGTTTACGTGGCAGGGACAAGGACGGGAGAGAGAGAGAGAGAGAGAGAGAGCACCCGAGGGTGACGGGGGAAAAGCAGCTGCTCCCGGCGCAGTACGGGGAGGCACCTGCAGGGAGACTCTCTTTGCAGGGCTCTGAGGACACGTGCTAATTCCTGCTACGGCAGTGACACGCTGAGGCGCCGAGTGCCGTGCGTGCGAGACATGGCTGGGGACCACGGAAGGGCTTGCCAGGGCTGCTGGCTGCCTGGAGGAGCAGGGCACACGGGGCCTGGGGACAATGGTGGCTGCCCGTGGCAAAGCAGGGACACCCCATGGGTTCCCGGACCAGGAGGCTGCCATCATGCTGAGCAGGGAGGGGCAGAGCCCTCGGTCCTCGTCCTCATGCACAGTCCCGCCGCCTCCCAGCCGAGGACAAGGCGCGCGGCAGGCACAGCGCAGGAGGCGCAGAGCCCGTCGGGGGAGAAACCCTCCAGAGCTCGGGCCAAGGGCTCTGGGTCCAGGCCCGGCGCCCCTCAGAGCCGC